GCCAAGCTGATTTTGGCAGGGCACAAAGAACACATTTTGGGATGTCAGAGTGCTCCCAGTTTGCTCTGAATCCAGAACAGCTGGAAGCATAACCCGTATCCTCCACGTCCCAGGCAGGTGCTTTATCACCAGAAAATCAAAAGCTGCTCTGTTGCTATGAGATGACCCCTCAGTCAAATGTCAAAGCTTTGAAATATTTTCTTAAGATGAAAGATTTTCTTAAGATATTCTGGAAGATGTGGAGGGCGAAAGGAGTTGCTTGGGGCTGATTGTTTCATTGATTGACAGTGTGTGAAGGCACCTTTGGTGTCCACCTGTACAACCACACACCTGGGAGGCAGCACAGGAGCTTTCAAAGCTCTCTGCTCCCCCGGCAGCAAAAACAGAGGGGTAAAGGTGGAAGCCTGGTCTCAAACTGGAGCACACTGAGTAACTCAGGTAATGAATTGATTTCAGAAGAAAATACTTTAATGGAGAGCATATAATAGTACCTAAGTCTAATTTCTAAACTCCTGATTAGGAGGAGATTAGGAAATCTCTTGAGTTTTGGAGAGTTGGGTTGTAGGAAACTTGACACCATGGATAGAAGCACAGCTACTTCCTTGTCATTATGTGAACACGTAGAGGGGGGATTATGGCTTTTTCTTTTTTTTTTTTAAAAGATTTCAGGAGCCTTAAATGTTGTTGGTAAATTAAATTCTAAAAGCTTAATTAATGGTCATTGCCAAATCTAGGGCTGGTTCTTTTAGGGACTGAGAGGCACAGAGGGAAAAACTGCACACCCCAGAGCTGCAGCAAGATGAACCTGACTGCATTTCATTTCCCTATTATGTAACTTTAGGTGAGTAAATTGATGCTGAAATTGTACAATATGTGTGGCAGGAAAACTGACACCACTAACTGCATTTAAGATTTTCAGTGTAACAGCTTGGTTACACTGAGCCTGGTCCCAGTGGTGAGTTTCAGGCTCTGGAGACACCATGATTTGCTGTACACACAAAGAATGCTGTCAGGTTGGGTTATTATTGTTTTATGGTGTTTAATTATTGTGTTATCATGAAAACTGCTCAAGTTGTTTCCTAGAGTAAGTCAAGACAGCTGCCAAAGTAACATCACTTTTACATTTCATCAAGTCACCATAATCGAACTGCCTTGCCCTTAATACTTTTGAAGAGTAGTGAAAGGAAATTTAACTTCCAGAGAAGAGAGTAAGTGCAAGTCCCAAACAGGACAGGATTTTGTGCTGCTAAGTGGATTATACCTCTCTCAGGGTACTCCAGATTTTACAGGCTCAAATCTGAATTTCACATATGGCCTCAGCCCTAGGCCAGAGTCCTACTTGAATTATTCCAGACTTGTACATAGAAAGCTGTGCTCCAAACATGAATCCAATTACCAGCTGCAGTCAGGCAATTGAATGGCTACAGAAAAAATAATCTGAGACACTGGGGGTGGGAGGGAAGGGAAGCAGGGGGAGGAGTGGGGAGAGGACTGTGATTTGTGTGGTAATCAAGAGGAGAAGGTCAATTGTAATAGAACAGGCTGGTTTAGGAGACAAAGCTAATGCAGGATGCCTTCCACTCTGTCGAGGGATGCTATCAATAGATCTGCTGCTTTCATTACAAAAGATGTCACTAAGTGACAAGATGAATCCGGGCAGGGGAAGAAGGGCTTCTGATGGATCAGGTGATTAAAACCTGGGCTGCAGACGGGCAATTAGCAAACACCAGGCTGATGACCTGTGCAGGAACTCACAGGAAGGGAGGAGTGGGGAAGGTGCAGCAGTGCACACACACAGGCAGCTGCCTCTCACTGGTGACACTGATTGGGATTTCTGCCTCTTTTCTCCCACTGGGAGCCCCTGAATAGGAACCCAAAATGCCTGCTGTGCCCAGAGAGTACAGGGGTTTGCTAACAGCTTGATTGGAATTTAAGCAGCCAGCACTCTGCTTTTCTGGAGGCAGCAGGGTTAGAAATGAACACCCATTGAAATCTTTTAGGGTGGCTGTGGCTGCTCAGAGCCTGGTTGGAAGTGTCAGTGCACCCATGCACCCATTAAACATTTCCCTGCTCATTTGCTGACACCCACATTCCTCAAAAATTGCTTTACTTTTTTATCCCTTCTGCATCTCACAAGATGAGGGCTTTTGAAAAATCTGAGGGTATGTTTTCTGCTAGGATTGCAAAATAGCAGTTGAGCCTTCAAGTGCATCCCCCCCCAGCCTGCAGGTCAGCCTATAAATCAGAAAGAAAAAGGGTTTGGATACTTATGTTTGTTTTACTGCTGTTTGCATAATATCATATGTTATTCCTGAGATATGGCAAATCAGCTTATGCTTTCATCAGCTTAAAATACTGGCACTTATCAATTACAAGAACTGATTGTCACAAAGCTTGTAGAATACTGAATTTATGATTGAGAGAAATGCTATGGATTTCTTCAACGGCCTCTGAGGTATTAATGGTGTCTTTCATAATATAAGATGCTGAGATGCAACTCTTAAGGAGAACACAGTAAAACCTGCAGGCTTTGTTGGAAACATCTAAGATTTCATTTCAAAAAAAAAAAAAAAAAAAGGAAGAAGGAAAAAAAAACCAACCCAGATTTTGAAAAATTGGGGCATCAGAAGTTATGACGAGATGTCAGGAGCTATTTATTCCATAAAAGCTTATGGTGTTAATGTATCCATCAGTGCTGATAAATCCATCATGGCTTAATCTGTTGTGCTCAGTGTGGTAACAGGACAAGGAGCAGCCATCTGCTTACCGTATTTGATTGCTGTTTCTTTGCACAAATACAGTCCTGCTTCCAGCACTTAAGAGTGATTAGCTGTAACTTATGGAGCTCGCTGTGACATTCCCACTGAGTAATTACTGGGGAAAGCAATCGAGAGAGCGTCTGAACACCAGGGTAAATGGTTAGCAACTACATTTGTGACAAGTTTAAGGTCTAACAAATCTCCCCCCACACGTGTGCCCATAAGGGAAAGGGAAAAGGGCAGAGCGCAATCTGTAAAGGACGGGGATGTCTGCTGCAGATATTTTCCAAAACCTACTCTGCAGAAGCTTGAAAAGCCCGATTTCCTATCCCTCCAAGCCCCAAGGCAAAACAGTCCTTGATTAAAAAAGCGGGGGGGAAATTTAATTGCTCTTTCTCTCACATTCCTGGCTTGGTAATTTGTTTTTCCAGTAGTTGCACAGGATCAGGGATGGGGGCTTTGTGCTCAGACTCCCCTCATCAGGAGGTGGTGGGGGGCTGAAGCGCAGGCATGACAAAAGCTTCTGTGCCCCTGATTAATAGTTGATTTCATTTAGTGTGTTAGAAGGGGATAGCTCTCCAAAGCCTGTCTTGAAATTGCTGGTTTGGAGAGATCTGCTCCCAAAACTGAACCTTCCTGCATCCCTGCCCTGTCCTTGAACTTCACTCACCCAAGTGTTTGTTTATAAGGGGCAGATTAAATGTGCGCTGAAAGAGAGTTGATTTAGCGGCGCAGACTAAGATATTCGGAACAACTCCAACCCCAGATTTGTCCTGTTTTAAGTTCTTAAGGGGGATTTGAGGTTTTCTTAGAAGTACTTATGGTATTTTGGGCAATTTTCTTTTTGATGAGCTGCAGCTATTACCCTTCTCCTTTTGTAGGATTTTATTACCTTTATTTCCTCTTGACCATAGATCCCAACTCTTCCCTTTTCCCCCACATCCTCTCTCTCTGAGAGGGAATTAAAATGAAACTTCATATTGGCTCCACTGGGCTTCCCACCAAAAAGTAAAGGTTTGACTGTGACTTTAGATTTGCATTGGCCTGACACAAAAATTAATTTCTCTGAAATTACATAGCTTTTGGAAGGGCTTGTGGACATGGGACAGATTTTACATGTCCTACAACTGATGTGAGTGTATTTTACCTGCCCTGATAATGGCCAGCTGTACCTCGGGATTGTGCTCTCAGCAGTCACTTACAGAGACTTCTCCTTCTGGGGAAGGAGTAACATCAACCAAACTTCAGAGCTCCTAGAGCTGCAGTTGGGTTGTTTTTTTTGCTTTTAGAGATCAAAACCCATTCATTGTGCGGTTCTCCCCATGCAAAGTGAACTTGAACGTGAAGATTTTCCCTGGTGCACTTGGGCTGTGTGCCAGAGCCTTTCCAAATCTGGCTGACTGGCTAAGAAAGCAAAGATATTTTTGTGTAGTTGTGGACTAAGGTTTTTAAGTATTTTTTTGTAATCAGGTGACAATGCAAATCTTCCTCTGAAAATTCCAGAGCACAGCCTGTGTAAGGTCCTCCTTAACAACAGAAAATGCTGTCCAAAGCTCCTCACAATGTACAGAACCCTGAGCATCACTAATCTAAAAATTCCCATGCTTTGCCCTGAGTAGGGCAGGGACTGAGGGGTTTGGGGGCCAGGTAGCACATCCTGGAAAGGCATAAGAAATGTAGCACATGTTCAGATTGGGAAAAAACGAAATATGAATGTTGCAGTGAATTTTGCCAGGGGCAAATAGATGGAGTTCTTCAAAATAGAGGAAACACTCGTGAAAGAAATCTTCCCTCCCTCACTTTGTCTTCTCCTGGAAGGGTTTGCAATTCCAGTTCTCATTTTGCCTTCTGGTCAGCTCTTTTCATTCTGAGTCCAATTGTGATGGGACAATTTTCTTTCCATGCCATAACTTGTTGCAGCACTAATTACATCTTTGCTTTAAAGCTGGAGTCACCAGCAGAGAGTGATTGGGTTGTTCCTTACCTTGAATGAGAAGTGGTGACTTTTGTTTGCTGCTGCTGCTGACTGGATTTGTGCCAGAGTCATACAGCAAATTGAATATTATATATCTCCCATATAACCCTGGCTAATTTAGATCCAAAGTAATTGCTGCTGGAGTAATTGATTTACATCTATAGCCAATATTTCAGCATGTCTTTTGTTGTTTTAATTATCTAATGATCTGATTGTGCAAGCAATACAGGATAAAGAGTCCATGTTTATTTCATTTTGCATTGCAGAGAGTCAACAATTTGAAAAGCAGAGGTTTGCAGCCCAAATTGCACAGGATATTTTAACCTGGACACCTCTTTGACCTGCACAACTCAAGGATAATGGTATTTGTATGTACAAATATTACATGTAAGAAACATCCTGCATTTGTTACAAGTAAATACTTAATTCCCACATTTTCTGTGTGATCATAGGATTTTCTTTTTGTCAAGGAATAAATTTGTAGCTTATTAAGCAAGACTGAGAAAAGACTGCCTGGGGTTTTTAGTTGGGTTATTTTATTAGAGATTTTTTTTTTCTTTTCCCAAGTATTACAATGATTTGATGTTGTTTGTGTCGGCTTTTGAAGGCTGATTACAGCATTTGAGGACATAGGAGGCAATCAGTCCTTAGCTAATTACTTTAGCTAGTTCTTTATTAATTTGCAATGCAATCTCTTCCAATCTAGCAAGTCACTGTCTAGGCCATGCCAATGAGAGTGAAAAATGAAGCAGAAAGAGTTTAGGAGCTCTGGAAGGATGGGAGGTGATGTAAAACTTTTATTCCGTCATTGCTGGCTGAGGGTGGAAATCCAGCTGCAGGTCACTTACCAGAAATGGTGCCAATCTGAAGATGAGAGGAAAAAATATTGATAATGCCTTTGTAGAAACCAGTCAGAATGAAGACCAGAAATCCATGGCATGGAGGAATAGAAGATATGAAAGAGGAGGGTTGGGATGAGAGATGGGTGGTGCTGATAACAAAAAACTTGTATGAAATGCATGAACAGAAAGCAAACTACTGTGCTATCAAAAGGTTTGAAGAGAGCATGTACCCTTAAATACCTTGTCAATAACTTTATCTGAAATAATCTACATTCTCACTGTGTCAGGATTCATTGCAATCAAACTTTTTTGGAAGGAACTGGCAAGGCATTTGCTCCTGCCAATATCCTAAATAATCTTTCTTATGTTGCCGCAAGGGAGAATGAGAATAGAATGCTGAGAATTCTGCACCATTAGAGGAACTTTGCAGGAAAAATTAGGGATGAGGTTGTCAGAGTCACTGAATTTCATCAGATTCCTTCAGATCATGTTTTTCTTATTTAAGAGATTTGATATTATTTCACCCCTTTGTCTCTTCTCCCTCTCTCTCACATGCTGCAGGATTTTTGCTGTTTGCACCAATATTGCACTTCTCAAAAGGTTTCCCAGAGATGTTCCGTAGCTTTGCTGCTGTATAATTTCTTTGGCCTTTTAAGTAGATGTTTTATGTTACTTTACTACCACCAGAGCTTCCCTATTTATCCAATACAGTTCCCCTGCCTGGTGATTACAGCCATATTGTCACCTATTTTATTGATGTTGAATTAACCATAGTTTTTAGTGATGATGATTATTATTATTTTGGTAAACACTAAGTTTTTGTGCTTATTTTCAATTGTTCTCTATTGTTCACGTTTTTATAACCTTTACAAGCTCTGCTTCCTGGGCTGTAAAATCCATGAAATGTGGAGTTTGAAGTAGAGTCATGGAGTGCTTGAAAAAAAAAGTTATTCTCATTTTACAGCCATTTGTTAGCTAATCAATTTAAAGGTCTTCTATACTGCCCTTTAAATGTGTAGGTGTAATTCCTATAAGCATTAATAGGATTTACATTTCCTGTTCACTGGAGCCCATATTCTTTAATTTGCTTCTCTTTCTTTCAATGCACAGGTAAAAAGAATTTTGTAGATAAAATACTACAGCATATTTACAATTATTTTCAACATTTGATTTTAACAACTTTGTCTTCAAATTTGTTTTGGTCAGAAAGGGATAAAACCATAATAGCATTGTTTTTATTGCACCTCTTTGCTGATAATACAGCAATGGTTATTTCATAGCTAATACATTTAGAGGGACATAAATCTGACTCTCAGTATTGATCACCCGCCCCAGAGAAAAAGACTCAGTGGATTAAAATTCTGAAGTGGGAATCAGGGACACTGCTGAGGGAGGTGCTGGCAGAGCAGCCACCCAGGGAAATTAGAAGGTGGCAAATTAAGAGGAAAGGGGAGGCAGGAGGTTGGCAGAGAATGGTTGGCAAGCAAAGAACTGCAAGCTAAACTCAGACACCTGTGGGTGTACTGGAAGCAAAACCCCACAAGTTTCAAGAAGAAAAAAAAATTTGGAACACATTCTTAAAAATCCTGGATTAAAGAGAAATACTTCCCCCTCCAGCAAGGTGGCTTGTTGGGCAAGTCTCTGCTGTCTTGCATTTGTGCTGAAATTGGCCCTGACATCTGGGGGCTACTGCAGTATCTAGAGTTTGGAATTAAAATAATTTAAAAAAAAAGAGCAAAATCATAGTTTAGTTATGTTTTTTCTGTAATGGGAAAAATATTTTGTGTTTGAGCTGCATAGGCAGGAGTTTCCTGAGGCAGATTGAACTTTGGCAGATATTTGGGATAGTGTGTGTGGCAGTAAATAACACAGTGAAGCTTAGGTGGTATTAGAATTGTACAGAGACAATGTTCAGGCTTCAGCAGCTGCATCACAAATGAAAGGTAACAACTGCAGGGATTTCCACAGACTCTAGTTAGTAAAATACACATGTGATGTTCATCAGGACCCTAGAACACAAATTCATTGAAAGTTTTGTAGTGTAATAACTCCACAAGCAATTTCACTTGATATCATACGTGATTATTTAAAAGTAACTTTTCTTTTGGTGCACAGTAAAAAAAAAAAAAAGAAAAAAAAGAGAGAATGCATTTTCTAGCTGGCTTTCCATCCTTGCCTGAGAGCTTGACTGATCATTTCTTTCATCAGAGGTCATCTGTGCTTCTAAAAATGAAACCTGTGTGGCCACTGTTTGTTCAGTTGTTGCATATTAGCTCCTCAGTGGTTAAAAAGATCTGAACAAATAAGAGGGCTTACCCTACATTATATTACCCTTTATTAGTAGGAAATTGAAGTCTAGAGATTATTATTAAGCCTCAGCCACTGAAGGCTACCCAGGCTCGGATGAAGGCCCCTGGAGCTGACCCTTGATCAAGCTGCATTAGGAGGGTTTTACCCTGGTTGCTAATTAAATAAACAGTGCTGATGGTATTATTCCTCCTCAGAGGCATTCCATGACATCAGCTGCCCGTGGCACCCAGGGACAAAGGGAATCAGGTTCCTCCTGGTGACTCCGGGCTCTGGCATGGCCCATCCTGCCCCGTCTGTTTAACCACGGCTGGATCGGGTGTCAGGGGCTTCTCATTGAAGTCTGGGCACAACAGGGACAGGGTTTCTATTAAAATAGAAACTTTTGTGGGGTTTTGCTTTCCAAGTGGAAGAGAGGCAATTCAATTTCTGCCTTGGTGTGCCAGGAAATACAGAAGGAAACAGCTTGATGAGTCTGAGAAGCACAGACATCTAAAGAGAGGGTGTTTGGGTAACTTTGGTGTCTTTCCAGTACTCAACTCAGATTTTTACTAAGAATGTGTCTTTACAGACACATTTCTTCACTTCAAGGTAGGAATAATGTTAAGGTAAAGAAGTCTTTAATTTTTCTAGTGTTTCATATGGAAATTTCAACTGAAAGGCAAAATCTCTCTGCCAATATCACCTAAAAGTAAATAAATTCCAAGCAGAATATTTATTCTTTTCTGGGAAAACAGTCATCTCTTCTTTAAACAGGCAGAGTTCACTGGAAACAAAATAGAGATGGAACTGGGGTTTATTTTGTTTTTCTGATTTTGTCTGTGTGAAGGAAGTCCTGAGGTTTACACAGAGCTGTGGTGAGATCAAAAGGTCCAACCTGGATAACAGAAATTCTTGTCACTCAGGATGACATAAAGGAACCCCTCATCCCTGCACCATGGACTGCACTGCCTGCCAGTCCTGAGTGCTGAGAACATACAGCAGGAGCCAGAAAAATCAAAATAAATACTCAGCTTTTCTTCTCAACAGAATTTGTGGGGTTTTATCTTTGGTACAGTGTGCTCTTGGAGAAAACAACATGGGCCAGGGCCTTGGTTCTCCAACCACAGCTCTAAGAAGAAAGAAAGGTAAAGTAAAAAGAAAATACTTATTTAGCTAATTAAGAAGGTGCCATTACTTGTTTTTGTTTGGTTGTTTCACAAATCAAGTGTCTTATGACTTAAATGAAATGACTCTAATTCAAACTCTTGTTTGAATTAGAGTACTTTCAAATTTAAAAACTATCAAGTTCAAATGGGAAAATTTCTAACAGTGAAGAAGTCTGTTTCCAGTTTTTTGGGGCAATTTGAATTATCATCACCATTAAAGAATTTGTTGCAGCTTTTCTTTCCCTATCAATTTTTTTTTTCAGTAGGCTTCCCTAATTATTTTTCTTACTCTTTTGAAGTAATTAGTTAATGAACATCCTGATTAGCAGGGCACCATCCTGCACCAGGCTCACAGGGAAATGCCACCATGTCCCTTCAGGATGTCACTCAAGGATTTTGACCCAACACTGTCCCAGTTGTTAGTCTGCCCTCTCTTTTCCCCTTTCCCACTGCTGTGAGACCCATCCTAACACCTTTTTTTTGCAATAATCCATGCTTAGAGAGAGGGCAGAAGCTCCCTGCTCTCCTCCTCCCAGAATCTGTACTTTGTTAGCCTTTAAATTTAAAGGATCACAAAATGTGTTTTTCAAAGCAGCTGGCACTGCTTAGAAGTCTCAATGTTTCAAACTTCTATGTGAAAGATGGATTTGTTGGAAAATTACTAACAATCTGTAAATCTTTGTAAAACCAAGATCAATTCTGAAGTAACACTGTTTATTTTATTGCTCATCTGTGTCATGGTGGCTCTTGACACAGAAACCTGAAGTACAAGATAAATACTGTTTGTCAAAGCCTATAAATTCCAAGCAGTGATTGAAAATTTTTTATTTGAAGTGCCTTCTACTAGGAAATGAAATCTTGTGAAAGGCAAAGCATTTTGCAGAAAATTTAACTAAGATAGATATTTTTATTTTCTGCAGGAGAATGGCTAAAACCAGTAAGCTTCAAGGTTTTTAATATTTCTTAGAGTACTTTTTTTCTACATTTTTTTTCTTACTGTTTGTATAGTATGTAGCTTTATTAAAGATTAAAAATTTCATAATGAAGTTTTAATTCCATAACAGCTAAATTTTTATTTCTTCTAAGTGG